GCCGCCACTAAGTGCCTAGCGTAGCCTCGTAGCATAGCAATTTTTGTGTGTGTGTGAAAATACGTTTACAATGTGTTTAAGAAGCGTGTTTTAATGAGTTAAAAAAACGATTAGAATATAGTCGTGCCTTGAGATACAATTGTCTTCACGTTTTGAGATCCGAGCCACTACTCTTTGCTTTATCGACTACTTTTAAAATAATACAATGCATTTAAAACATAACAAAGAGAGCGAGCAAGAGCAATGGATAAGACAAAAAAATGTATTTAGAGTGTACCGATCCCTCTGTTTACAGGAAACAACCCTTGTTTATTTTTTTGTTTTGTTTTTTTTGTTTTTCAAACTAACGAATGTATTATCTCACAATATGAAAACCATAATTACGCCCAAAATGAACCTTGGAGGCGTCGCTTTCTGTAAGGCTGATCTTGAAAAAGGTTTACAGGTGGTACTGTACTTCCCCTGTTCATTTTTCCTCTCTCAAATGTACACCATTGAAAACATTTGTGCTGCCATCTAAAGCCAGATGGTGGAATTACAGCCAACATAAACAAGCTGTTTTCCCCAACATTTTATAATGTGGCAACTGTTATTACTCTGTTTTTATACCGTACAATAATGTAGAGAGCATTTTTTCAGGGGTCCGGAACACATTAATATTATTTTAATTGATTTCAATGGCGAAAGCTGATTTGAGATATGATGGTGAACATGGAACAAATTCAGCTTGTATGTCAAGGCACCACTGATATTATTTTTATTTTTTTTTAATATGGTTTCTCTATATCCTGGATTTTGCAGAAAATATCCCCTGCAACAAACGGCTGCTGATTGACTCGCCAGAGAATCGACCTGTGAATGTTTTGCGTCCGTTTACGTGACATTGGAATCCCGAGTGACCAATTAGTTTTTAATGTAACATCCGTTTGAGAACCGAAGAATATTCATTTTTAAAACTAGCTCAAAAACAAATGAAATTGCTTACTATTAAGCTTTGACATTCTGTAGGTAAGAAATGTCCATTTTTCTTTTTGGGTTTTGATGCATTCTTATTGTGCGAAAAAAAAATATCCTGCCCTATTTTATTCTTGTTTTCTCTCGTTTGTGCGCAAATGGTAAAGAAAAAAAAAAAAGAGACACCAGACACGGGAAGAGTTTTCCATTATGTCGTGCAATATTTTTTTCTTTGTTCCATTAGTAAAATTTGAATAAAAAGCCGTTAAGAAAAACACAATTTATGTCGCATAACTTTTTGTATGCTGTCGCAAAAGGAAAATGAGGAGAATTAAATGGTGATTTTTTTTTCTTTTTTTGTCTTCCTTTCAAAAATGGGACAATATTTCAGGCCAAATATCTCGGACAACCGCGGAATTTTCAAACTTTGAAGGTATTTTCTTCAGTGTCACTGAGTGGCAAAATAAACCCAACAACTTGGTTGTTAATTACCAAAAATGTTGACGTTAACTGTAAATATTTCCATGTGTCAGCCAGTCAGATGATGAGCACCAAGAGAGTCAACCAAAGCAGTTCGACGACTTTCATGTTATCCCATCGGATTTATTTAAAATGTTATTTATTACGATTTTGTTTGAAACACAGTCTCTCTTTGACCACAAACCAGTCAGCTTGAAAAGACGTCATTGGCCAATAATTGCAAACATTCCACCACAGTCATGTCAAATAATGTACAGTAAACCCCTCTCCTCCCTCAGTAATCACACTACTACAGTACTCTTACAGTAGTATTTGGACCTTTTAACACATGTAACTCCTTTTGTCACTCTCAGTCAACCTTTAAGATGAAAAACATACAGAAGTGCCGTAAAAATAGAAGCCTATTTTTGGTTTGTTCTGTTTTGTGTGTGTGCGTGTGTTTCTTGTAAACCTGTATAATGTATATTTTAATATTTATATGCAGCTGTTGTATTAAAAGTATATTTTTAAAATAAAATCTATCTTGGGTTTGTGTGTGTGACTCCCGAGTGCCGCCTGCTGACCACGCGCTTGCTTGGTCCCCCAGCGTTGTCTTGAAGAACGGAAGTACGGAAAATACGATTTCTAATTTCTCCTTTTATAATTGTAAGTACTTTTAAAAGAATTTGGTTTTTGAATAAAATCTAAAAATGGAAAATGAAATGAGGGTAGAAGGTAAATAATAAAACAGCATTTTAATTTTTTAATAAGAAAAAATGTGAATAAGATGAGCATATCATAAAAATGTGAAAATTGCGCATTTTTGCCTTTGAACCTTAATATCGCGCTTTCTCAAGATTCATTTGTGTTTTACAAAACATTTCCGTTATATGACTAATTTATTTTTCAAAGTTTTAATTCAAAAGAAAAAAACGAATGTAAACAGATTACCGGTACCTAAATTATTTGTATATATATATATTCACGTTTTTTAATTTGCCATATTTTAAATGTGCTTTTGTGAAAAATTTATTCAAACTAAAAACAATGTAAATGAAATATGAGCATGACATTCTGACGATATTGTATTTTACTCATTACATTTTCATTTCAATTGAAGGGGACACAGAGGTTATTAAAACAACTTGTTTTATTGGCATGGAATCATTTGTATTCACATTTGAATCATGTCCTCCCCACTATTGCACCTTCCCCACATCCATTGGACAAATTACTTTTTTTTTTTTTTTTTGGACAAACAAACAAAGGAATGTACAAAAAGGAACAACTCTTGTCCAGGCCTCCATTAAGAGTCAACAGCAGCTTTGGATCAAAACATTTGATCAAGATGTTATCGCTTGTCTGTCAAACGGCAAACTAAGGGGGTGGGCAAACTCAACAAAACTTCTGTAAAAGGGACATGGGCCAACTTCATTGGAGAGAGCGAGAGAGACAGACAGATCGGCTGTCGTTAGCCCGCTAGCTTAATTAGCTACAACTTAATGTCACAATGCCAATGAGGGAAGAAAAAAACAAAAATATCCTTGTTGAAAATTCAGCTTTTAAATTGACGTCTGTGTTATTTGGTCAGCCGTGACGCTAATCCGCAAAGGTTGAACGCGGCAACCAGACCTTTCTTGTTTGTTGAATTTGTTGTTTTGCCAAAACGATCAAATACGAGATGGGCAGCCAAGCTACGAGGCTGACGGAAAATAGTTTCAAATCAGATCATACTTGATCGCTTTTTCCATTTCATTTGGAGTTATAATTAAGCAATTAAAAAGAAAACCCTTAAAATAAGTATGTCGAGTACATTCTTTCAATAATAAAATCATTCCATCATGTTAATTATAATTTGATTATAACCAACCAGTTATTTTATAAAATTTAATTTTGAAAAATGTGGAAACTTGTCTATTTTACTACTTTTGAGCTAGCTAGCTAACTAGCTAGCCGTACAAAAAATTATTTTCATTCTTATTGCAACTACACGGTTTAACAC